AAAAATGAATATTTAAATAAATTAAAACCGGCCTCAATAGGGGGTAAACGCATAAGGAGATGCTGGCTGACGGACCAGCACAACTATTTTAATATAGATGAGATGTATTCACCCTTTGTCGTTTAAGGTGATGAAGGACTAATAGTTAAATTTTTCCTAATTATATAGGTAGCCCTTAAGTTTTCATTGAATTTAAACTAGCTTTGCTTCGCGAAAAATATTTTCATCCATGATGAACTGGAGTTTAGACCTCACCTTGGTATCATCAGCACCCTCAGTGGGACTCGAAACATAATGGTGGGGATGTGACGTAGTTGTTAATGTGCCGAGATTACATGCTGCATACGCATGGTTCGAATACCAGGGGGGTACTGAGGAGATCAAATCAAAGTTGATACAGCAATCCTTCTTGGCCTTTTGACAAGCAGGGATATGTGAAATTTGATAGAAACCTAAGGCATATTCATATCAATATGGAAAAATTCAACTACCTATCCTTCATTACCTTAACACAATATTGTAAATACATCTCATATATGTGATGTTGTATTAGCCTCGAAAACCTACTAATAAAGTAAAAACAAGTATTTCGAATAGATTGGGTAGTAAGCTCAAAGATAAATAAAACCAAGCAGAGGAGACAAGAAGGAAAGCATTTTTGATATTTAACGAGAAATGCAAGAACGCCGATAATTCCAAGTGTAGATATCTACATATGTATAAACTAAGCATGTCTAAGACATTTTAAAATCATACTAAGAGGTTAGAATCAGCATGAGGGGAATCTTTGGCTTTCGGGTTAGTAAGCCCATTTATATAGAAATATAATTCGAAAAAGCGAATATTTCTGGCTATTTGTACAAATAAATTTCAATTTTTAATTCCATTTCGTTAGATAAGTTAGCAAGATAAGATCATAGATATAAATAGTAAGACAGTTATTCAACACAATAAGTAAAAACAAATAACACTTACAAGAATAAATAATAATATAACTTACGAATTGAAACGAGCGCATACAATTTGTTAATATCTTGTTCAGGTGTACCTGTCTGATGAGGGCGGGCTTTCCAAAAGTGCAAACTTATAATGTCCCATGAATTAACTGATCTGGTATTCCACTTTATTTCATATAAATGCGCTCTTAAAATTTTTTTTTTTAATTTTTTTATATAATACTTTTTATAAAAAATTTTTTCATATACTATACCAGTTCTCATTACCTTAAATTAGCCATTTCTTCGGTACATTTACTGACATTTTTCTTTAAGTTGACTTATTTATTGTTTTCTATAAAAATTTTTTTTTAGTGTACTTCACCTGCTATCACTTCAGAAAAGAAGGGGAAATGCAATGTAAAGGAACCGGAAAAGGAGAAACAGAAATTGGAAAAGGTTACATCGGCCTTATTTTCTATTTTCAGGACCGCTTACTGCTAGAAAAAAAACTTAAAAAGGAAGCTGACGAACGTGACCGTGAAGAAAAGCGACGGATAAAAGAGGACGAACGGAGAAAGAAAGAAGATGAAAGAATTAAACGTGATGAAGACAGAAAACGTAAGGAGCAAGAAAGAGAGCAGGATAGATTGCGAAAAGAGGAAGAACGCCGCAGACGTGAAGATGAGAAAAAAAGAAAAGAGCTTGAAAAAGAGGACGAGCGGAAGAAGAAGGAAGAAGAAAGACTTAAAAAGGATGGTGAGCGCATCCTTAAAGAAATGGAAAAAAAGAAGGAGGAAGAAGAACGTTCGAAAAAAGTTGAAAAGCAACGCGCAATTTTATTCGGATTCTTAGTCAAATCGAACGAAAAACTGGTACGTAATTGATCTCGATTTCTATTAATTCACATTTATTTGTATTAATTT